ACGGCGACAAAAACGTGGCTTGGATAGGTAAGAGCGACAGACCTGAACAAAAAAGGCATGAAGATGAACCAATCTCAACCTAAAGACATGTACCTTCTATCAGTGAAGACACCGACGTGGTTTTGCCGGCGTTCGCCGAATCTGGGCGGCTGTCGCCTGACGAAAGGCTCATTTCATCGTCGCAGGCATAACATGACGGGATACAGTCCGAAGAATTGACCACCGATGATTTGCTGTGAGCAGTCGTTGCGCTGCCGATCTCCGTGAGCCGTTTGACGACCTTCACCAGCGTGCAACTCTCGTCTTTGAGAATCGACTGGATCCTCGAGTCGAGAGAGCTAACAGGTGAGCTCGTCTGCCGAATTCCAGGGGTTGAGCTGGCACAACGGACAGAATCCGCTGCAAAGTTAGTGCTCGTTGTTCGGACATTGCCGTGAGCAGCAAGCATCGAAGCTGATGGGTCATCGCTACCATGGGTAGCTTCTACGGCATTAAGCCGAAGGGTAGGGGAGTTTTCAATCACAGCATTAATTCCTTCCGAAAAATCATTGGCTGCAACGGCACCTGTGGCCAAAACGCCGCTGCCTACATTTCTTCGGTCAGGTGAACGATGTCTACGAATCTCTGAACACTCGGTAGATTTCTGTCTATGACCGATGTCTTCTTCGACGTCGTATCGAAAGGAGTCAGTAACAATCTTTCTTCTGCGCTCCTCGTCCCTCCAACGAGCCCGAGAGCGGCGACACCGTTTAGAGCGACGACTCGACCAACGGCCATGTCGTTGGGACTTGCCCAAGTTTTCTCCTATGATGCCTGACGGCTGCGGGTCGTCGTACTTCGGATACTTCACTTCGCAACGAAAACGATGGCTGTCAATTTTCTTCTGTCCGATGCTAGTCGACTTCCACGATGCTTGGTTATTAGTCAAATCTTTAGTATTATTCATCGATGTGGATGGTTCATGATCAGAAGGGGAACTTTTTTTGACAACGTTGTTGTCGTCCAACAGCTCTTTGTTGGCCGTTTGGAATAACGAGCAACCAAAACCCTGTAAAGATGTGGATTCTGACGCTAGCTGAAAACCAGGTCTAAGCTTCTGGCAATTGCTGATGTCAGGGTGCGGAGCGACAGACGAGGAAAATGCGCAGCTTTGCTTATCCACGTTTCTGGACGGCTGAATGACGGGGAATCCTGGCGGTGGCACACTCATGTTAGCCATGATCGAGGCCATTGTTGGAGGCGGCTGGACCGGAGGAAGATTGTACGTACACCTGGCTGCAGCCAGATTCGTCCCTGCAACGGGCCATCGGTTCTGTACGAAAGGAGGCCAGAAATTCGGCGGACGTGCAGCAGTCCAGGACAGTGCTGATGCAGCAGCGGCGGCGGCGGCAGCGAAAGTAGGCATAGTTGGAGGCGGCAGGTTGCTCGCGAACGGCAGTATCACAGAAGGAAGGGCAGCTAAAGGAGGCAGACCGACCATAGCAGGGGACAACGGGAACGGAGACGAAAACTGCAAACCAGACGTTGTTGGATCTTCCGGAATAGTGGCACTAACGGTAGCGCATGCAGCGGCAGATGAGCATGTTCCATTGGTAGAAACAGATGCGGGCGAACAAACACCGCTGGTTGATGGAGCCGTTGTGCCGGTAGGAGGGTAAGCACCGGTTTGTGAGTTAGCGCCAGTGATTACCTCACTTTCTGCACATTCTTTTGACTCATTATCTCCCATATCATCCGGACGTTTCTTGATTCTTTCTTGATAAATTTCCTTTACCTTCCGGCCTATAAAAAACACGTACAGGTGAACAACAATTTATGATCACATAGAACTGCTATGCTGCATTTTAAATATTCACAAAAAATATAAGTAACAAAAGTCAGTCAGTCAACCCCCCCATCGGGGCTATGAAGACATAAACTGCCTGTGTGAAGTGTCAACTTTTGCAAGTGTTCAGTTATCACAACGCTTTGGCCCACTTAACTGCACTTGTAAACTACTAGCAGCAAGAAAACGGTGGTAAACTAAACCTTTAATAGGCTTGGTAAAGTGGAACCAAATCTCTAGACTTAATTCCTTTGAAAAAGCAAAGAACATTAGCCATAGCTCAAGCATAAGATATGGAAAAATATAATACAATGAATTACGGTGACCAATCGGAAACAGCGATTGGCCAATGGAATTTATCATTAACTTTCTGCATTCTGATCTGATGCGACATAACTGTTAGGATTTATTCAAAGTCAACGGGATGCCGTTGGCCATGTAGAATCACAATACATGATGCCAGCAACAGCATATCCAAAACGATTCAACGATGGGTAAGAACCTGCTAGCGCTGGAAGTGCCGGATAGCAAGTCTTAAGTAGTCATTTCGGTATAGAACAAAGTGGGTAATGGAGAGAAGCGAGAACATCTAAGTCTATTGTTACCGGCAATAGTCAAATCGCTGACCAAGCCAGCAGAACTGAAGTCGAGTTAAGAGACCTTAGAGAATTCAATATTCTCATCAATTACATAAATATTTATTTTCGCATTCCATGGAAGCTTCACCCTTCGGGTCGCAAATGCAGACGCGTGAGACAGCTCCTCCAACGTTCCTGATCCTGTGCCAGAGTCTGAACTCTGGCAGGAGACAATCAGACTGTAGAGCAGAACCCTTCCATACATTTGTCAATTTCATACATAACTATGAAACAGCCCCCTCAATCTCTTAAGACAAATAGCTGAAACTGACCGAAAAGCTTATGGTTTAAAATAAACTTGTCCAAAGTCAAGCAAGAATCAAAAAATCCAGCACAGCACAAGTAAAAACAGCAACGGAAACGAACCGTAGGTGTCGAGAAATGCTGTAACAATGTCGCCCATGATCGACGTGCCGTTGTACCGCGTCAGACAGAGCCGAGCTGAATCTGCGTTGTGGAACATGGCACGGCCAATGCACATATGGCGATGAGTCTCCGGATGCCGAAAGATCTCGACCTGGT